AAGTGTGGCCTCACCAAGGCATTATAAAGTGGTATTAACACATCACATGACCTTGATTCTATCCCTCTGTTTATACTAAGGCATTATAAAGTGGTATTAACACATCACATGACCTTGATTCTATCCCTCTGTTTATACTAAGGCATTATAAAGTGTTATTAATTTAATGATCTTGATTCTGTCCCCTCTATTAATGCAGCCCAAGACCGCATTGGATATTTTGGTGGCCCAGCCCCTTCCCAATCATGCTGAAAGCATGCCCAGAGCCCCCTGAAAACATATACATCTTTCAACCAGATGCCTCTCTCTTGCAACTCACTTCCTGCGTAAAAGAATGGATATTTTGGTACGTGATTGGAGGAAGGTGGAAATAATGCCATAAAGAGGCAAAATCTTCAATACCTTGGCCTTTCCCCGCCAAGTATTTCTTAGCAGTGTTAATAGCACAGCTGGGAGGTGCCCAGTGGGGCCATATCAATGCAGTTTTTAGGCCCCTGAGCCATGTTTTAGTTGAATTTATCCGTGGAGGTCAGTCTTAATTGGAGAGGTTAGAGATGAGGGTTTATGTTGAAAGCAGCCTTTCCGGTACTGTAAAAATATGAAAAGGAAAGGAATTTGAAGTGGACTTTTTTCCTTTACTAATGAGAGCTGCGTTTGATGATAAGGTTGTAAAACTTTCCCTTTTTCCTGTGGGAGTCAAGGAGGGCACATTTCTAATGCTCATAATTGGGTTGCATTCCCCAACACGGTGCCCTGTACCTGCGTTGGGACTGCAACATAAGTTTCTCACGATTCTCACTCAGTTGGCTCTGAGCGATGTTAACGCACATGGATGCTGCAAAATTGGGACAAGCTCAGCTCAGTCCTGAAGAGCAGTAAAAAGGAAGATTAATTTGCAAAGAATTCTTTAACGGAGGCTGGAAAGGTTTTAAAGAACGATTCCTTGCTATTGTCCAATCGGACTCAAAAAGCAGAGGTTTTAGACTTGGATCTCATGCAAGAGAGATAATCAACAGAGCTGTTCACCCCACCTTTTCTAAAAGTGAAATGGGATTTGCCTCTTCACATAGTCGGATGGAAAAGGACTAGGGCTCCCAATATTTGGGGGGATGTCACTGGGGAGAGGGGGTCGACCTCTTCTCCAAAGCACGTAAATCCGGGACAAGTAGCTAAGGATGGAAACTAATCAAGGAGAAAAACCAACCTAGAAATAAGGAGAAATTTCCTGACAGTGAGAACAATTAATCAGTGAAACAGTGAAGGTTTTCAAGAAAACCTGGTCAGCTGTTTGTCGAGGGTAGGGTCTGGAGCAGTGATGGCTAACCTTTTTGGTGCTGAGTGCCCAAATTCAATGCCAGCGCCCCCATGCATGGCCCCCTGTGCGTGCATGCGTCCCCAGCACATGCGCNAGCTGAAACAGCCTGTTTGCTCTTTTCTGCAAGGAGGCAAATTGCTGGGAGGCAGAGGCAGATTTTTTTTTCTTGTTTTCCTCCCCAAAAGCTAGGTGTGTCTTATACTTCGGAGCGCCTTATATTCTGAAAAATACGGTAACTCTTGACCTCCATGAAGCCACACTATAAAGACTAGAACAACGCAGTACAAAAGATAGAATAACTTGAGATGCTCTTTTCTTTGAGAAAGATAATCTGTATCTTAGAAGTGCTGTAAGTTCACACAGCAAAATTGGATCTCATATATTTCAACTGAAACTCAAAAGTTCATACAATATGGGTGTAACAAAAAAGGGATTTGTAAGTAAGACAGTCTGCAATCTTTAAACTGGGTGAGGCAGCCATTAATTCTGATTGTCTTTTTCTTCCCCAGTTTCATGAAAATGAGAAGCAGAAGAATGGAGTGCAAATTAGTTGGGTCACTCATCTCTTAGGATAGCGAAGGGAAAAAAACCTGTCATCTTGGCAACT